AAAAATACTTATCTATAGCTTTTACGTGACAATCAATTCATTAGACATCCGTTTTATGAGACAAAAAACATTTGACAATTGAAGACAAAAATAGTAATATTTATAGCATTTTATTTGTCAATACAAGCAATAGATAAGCATTTAAAGGCATTGATATTCAATAGACAACAAACAATACAATTTTTCTACACATTTTATGGCTATAATAAATATATGGGAACTAAACGGGAAACTACTTCTTCCTCTATTCACATGAAATTCAATCAAACAATTCATTAACGCATTGAAAAAAAATGCAATATTCACTGCATTTTAAGGCATCTCATAGTAATCGTAACGAAAAATACAATTATAATTCATTAGTTATTTTTATAAATAAAAGTCACAAATAAAAACATATAATTTACCAAAAAATAGTAATGAAAGGATTGAAACAATCGTTCAAAAAGTTGGGCCGAAGTAAATCGATAGCCAGCGTCGGCAGCGGTGGCCAGGGATGGGACGGCCAGGAAAAGGAGGCCCTAATTGACCGGAGCATCAAACGTGTGGCATATCTCGAGTCGTTTCCCAAAGTGATTGATTACATGGGATATGAATTGCCGGGCGATGTCATCAACCCTAAGGTGTTGGACAACATCCAGGACTTGGATGTCCGCGAGAGTGACATATTTATCGTGTCGTACCCGCAGTCCGGGGCGTCGGCTGTGGAGGAGTTGGTGCTTAAACTGGTGGACAAAATGCTGGAGAAACAACCGCAGGGCCGGCGGCAGCGCTCGGCTAGTGTGAGCCGTTTGGAGGCCGCCCACCCGTACGGACACCTCCGGTGGCTGAACGCCCTGAAGTCGCCCCGCATTTTGGCCTCTAATCTCCCGCTGGCTTTGATGCCCGACTCCGTCAAAACTCCCGTTTGCAAAGTAAGCAGTAATTTATAACTTATAACTACTAATTATAAAAATAATTGTATTAATTACATGTTATATTTGTTTCCAACATAAGATAATATATGTGTTGCGTAACCCAAAGGACCAGTCGGTGTCGTACTACTACCAGCACCGGGTGAAAGGCATACTGTCCTCGTTTGACGACTTCATATCCCTCTATATGTGCGGACACTTACTATACGGCGATTACTTCTCACACGTTATAGACTATTGGCGATTGTCTCGCATGTGTCCGCACAATGTCTTTGTGCTCACGTTTGAAGAGTTAAAACTCGTAATTAATTAANCATCAAAGCCAGCGGGAGATTAGAGGCCAAAATGCGGGGCGACTTCAGTGCGTTCAGCCACCGGAGGTGTCCGTACGGGTGGGCGGCCTCCAGACGGCTAACACTAGCCGAGCGCTGCCGTCGGCCAGACGGCTGTCTCTCCAGCATTTTGTCCACCAGTTTAAGCACCAACTCCTCCACAGCCGACGCCCCGGACTGCGGGTACGACACGATAAATATGTCACTCTCGCGGACATCCAAGTCCTGGATGTTGTCCAACACCTTAGGGTTGATGACATCGCCCGGCAATTCATATCCCATGTAATCAATCACTTTGGGAAACGACTCGAGATATGCCACACGTTTGATGCTCCGGTCAATTAGGGCCTCCTTTTCCTGGCCGTCCCATCCCTGGCCACCGCTGCCGACGCTGGCTATCGATTTACTTCGGCCCAACTTTTTGAACGATTGTTTCAATCCTTTCATTACTATTTTTTGGTAAATTATATGTTGTTTTGAAGTTTTATTTGTGACTTTTATTTATAAAAATAACTAATGAATTATAATTATAATTGTATTTTTCGTTACGATTACTATGAGATGCCTTAAAATGCAGTGAATATTGCATTTTTTCAATGCGTTAATGAATTGTTTGATTGAATTTCATGTGAATAGAGGAAGAAGTAGTTTCCCGTTTAGTTCCCATATATTTATTATAGCCATAAAATGTGTAGAAAAATTGTATTGTTTGTTGTCTATTGAATATCAATGCCTTTAAACGCTTATCTATTGCTTGTATTGACAAATAAAATGCTATAAATATTACTATTTTTGTCTTCAATTGTCAAATGTTTTTTGTCTCATAAAACGGATGTCTAATGAATTGATTGTCACGTAAAAGCTATAGATAAGTATTTTTATCATTAAAAAATTCAAAATTTACTATGGTACTTTATTTGTTATAGCAGGCACATCGTTTGTACTCCAAATTATTATACAATGATTTTGTTTACATAATCAGTACATTTATAAAAATATCTATTTACAGTTTTATACATTTTAATATTTTAATTAATTATATAATTATAAATACTAACATATACCACATTTAAGTTTTATTATCTAAGTTTGTTAATACAAAAGTTAAAAATTAAGTTCTACTAAATAAATTACAATTTGAAATATTTAATTTAAATACTCATGTGATTGCAAAATATATACCAAATAAACAAGTTGCTTTTATAGTTCAATAAACGCGTTATTGCGCCAAAAATTATTAATAATTACCGACATGTGTTCACCCGATAAAACATATTTGTCCGCAAAAAACAACCTAAAACTCAAAATACTGACACAAATACACATTTGCATTAATGTCAATTTGTTATTTTTTGCATTTAATTAACACCTAATTTAGTTTTATTAATAATCATACAAAAAACACTATTGATAATAATGTTTGTCATGAATTTTAGCTAATTATTATAAATTAAAGCAAAAATAATAATAATTGCAAAAAATGTTTGTAAAATTAATTGTTTTAAATATTTTACTCATACTATCGGTGTGTGTCTGCGGACAGGAATCTGATGCCAGTCCTGTGGGTCAGTAGTAACTAAATAAATTCAAATGACCTTGTTCAATAATTATAAATTATAATTATATATAAATTAATTATAATAAAAGTCATATAATTAACTAATAATTATAATTATTAATTAAGTATCAAACGAGTCGGCGGATATTAAACAGGAGTCGGCACCCATTGAATCGCTGGACCGGTCAGTTGACAACTCAGCCCGAGATCAGTCAACAGCGCCAGTCAGACCAGACGACTACTCCGTACAGTCGGGACAACAGTCAGAAACAGGTCCGTCAGCGGCAACGGACGAGCCATCCGTTGAATACATACTATTGCCGGACAAGAAGTCGCCATTCCTTGCGCTCAAAGACCGGTTGTCGGCGCCGAAGAACTCGTCGCCGGCCGAACAGCAGTCGGCGAACCGTAAACTCTTCGGCGACAACAAACAGATCAACGCCAAACACGTGCAAACACGGGTGGCCTTACATCAGACCACAGACGCCATCTATAACTGTACGCAAGAGTCGGTGCTGTCGT